AAATAATGAGAAGTTGGGCCTTTTTAATAGTTTTAGCAACTTCACTGTTTATATCGAGTCTAGAAATTGAAGTTTCATTTAATGGAATTGGTCATTTATACTGAAAATAAAAGGTTCTTCCACCGAGACGTAAATTTGCAGCAATTCCTATAGATGCCGTGGGTAAAACAGTACCACCACAACCTCTAATATAATGTATTAAAACTTTATTGGGGGGAGCTGCTACAGTGTTTTGGACAGGTTCAAGCCTTGGACTGATGAGAGGGCACAGTCCTCTCATTGCCACGTGCTAGTCCCAGCTTGCAGGGCAGGGCCCTCCCAGCACAATTATAGCCAACAGCTATAGTTGTAAGCTTGAACCTATGGTCCAAACACATGGACCCACGTGCCTGAGTGATGTAGGCTTGATAGAGTTAGGTGCATGTAGTTGAGTAGGATTGAAACTCAAGACAATGTTGTAAACATCTTGGTCACATCCTTACTTTGTCTCATGGCATCTGCTATAAAATAAAGACATGGCTGTGGGTGTGGTCGCTGTCTCTCAGAGAAGCAGCGTCCCACTGAGACCCAGATTTCATTCTCTTGTCTGTCTTTTCTAAGCCTTTTAGCAGCCCCTACTCAGGTTCACCCTTGGCCGTGCTGGCACAGCACACTTTATAAAGATATGTCTCCATGCTCTGAGGGCGGGTTCCTGCCTCAAACCCTGCCCTTACAGGAAATAGCTCCTGGAACAGCTAGTAGGGAGGGTGCAACTGTTTTCAAGACAACCCCTGCAGGACTGACTTCCTTCCCACTTGGTTGTGGTTCTGGCCATGATGTTACACCCAGGGTTTTTTTATAGGTAGATTAGGGTATGCTCAAGTGATGTTCATAAAGGTTCATGGGTAGTATACTTTCTGAGTCCTCATGTATCAGAAAATGTTTTTGTTTTATCATTACCCTTGAGTGTGAAAATTCATAATTTTTATTCTTAGGACTTTGTAGGCATTTCTTCATTATCTTATAGCATTTGGTCTAATGGATAAGAAGTATGATGCTAGTTTAATTCTTATTTCTTTGTAAATAACAAGATTTTGCTTCATTCTAAAACATGTAGGATTTTAACTATATTTTGGAAATTAGAAATATCAGAAAGGCACCCATTCCTTTACATGAATCAGAAAGAGTATAGGGAATGGAGAAATATGCTGTCACCACGCCCACCCAGGCACTCCGTTACAGTCAGACCAAATGGCTTGCATTTCGGTGAACCCACCATACATTTTCCTGCCTTGATGCCTGAGCATTGGTGCACCCTCCCTCTGCTTCTCTACTGGGTACTTTTGCTTGTCATGTAAGGAAAACCTCAGTTGTCACTGTACTTAAGAGCATTCTCCAGTTTGAGTTAAGTGCCACCCATTTGTTTCCCACAGAGCGTCCTATGAATGCTCCAACATACCACTTGCTGGGTTCTGTGTTCATCTCTGTAACCTCTTTGAGGACAATGACAAGACCTTTTTATGGGCAGTGACTATGAGCTACCCATATCTCTTCTCTCAACCCCTAGTGCAGTACCTGGTTACACAGTTGGGTGTTTTAAAATATTTGTGGAAGGGAATTAGAATTTAAAAATATATGACTGCTTTTTAGAGCACTGCAATCCACATATATTTGATGTCATTACCAATTACACATCCTGAGTTCCTTCATTCAATTGATCCCAGGAATATATAAAAAATAATACATAAGATTCATTGAACACTAATTGTGTGGTAGGTACTGTTCTAAGGCCTTAAAACATTAATTCATCTAAGCTTTACAACAACCCCATGGGGTAGGTACTATTATCATTCTCATTACAGATAAGGAAACAGACTTGTAGGAAGATTAAGTTTCTTTTTAAAGATCGCACAGTGGGTGAATGAAGTGGGAAAATTTTAACCAGGACAGTCTATCTTCATTTGATATAACACTGTGATGGTCATTTGATAAATAGTTCGATTAAGTTTAGTTCTACTATCAGTAGCATGTGAATGATGTGTCAGTCATGAGCTAGGCACTGAGACACACAGTGATTCCTGCCTGAGGGAATCAATAATATTGAGAAGGAAATGATTGTACAAGTAATTAAAATACCATGTGATAGTATAGGAGTAATAGGAGCTTATCTATGCCAATAGGAGTCATCTCCTACTATGTGACAATCTTAACAGCTTAAAACAATAAATATTTATTCTCATAGTTTCTGACAGTCAGGAGTCTGACTTATCTGGGTGCCACTGTTTCCAGCTCTGTCCTCAAGCAATCATGTGTTGGCCATGGCTGTGGTCTCATCTGAAAGCTCAGCTGAAGACCATGTGGTTGCAGTTGAGATTCTCAGCTGTGTGTGAGCTCCAGGAATTGTTTATTTACCCTCTTAGGTTTCACCTACATATACATAAATTAGTATTTGGCCAAAGACCTTACTACAGATTACTGGCCTCCCTATCTTTGGAGACTCTAACATGTACAGTGGAACCTCGGTTCTCAAACTTACTTCGTTCTGCAAGGCTGTTTGAGAAGTGATTTGTTAAAAAACAAAACAAAAAAAACCCCACAAATCATTTTTTTCCACTAGAAATACTGTAAAATGAATTAATTAGTTCCAGACCCCAAAGGAATCACTTTCAGCACTCATTCCAGGGGTGTCTTTTCAGGTAGTCAGCATGCGCATCTTGGGTTTTTCAGATATCACTGCTTCTGAAGTGCTGTCACAGGTTAACTGCTTTTTGCTTATCCAAATCAATAGCAGTTTTTCTAACTTTTCAATGGCCTGTGATCATTGTTTCTTTCACATCCTTATCAACATTAGCACTCGTGATGGCCTCTTTATGTTTTAAAATTGTGCTAATCATCCATTTCACCAGCAACAAAAGCAAAAAGCACTAAACATATATTCACAGAAAAATTTCCTGAGATGTTAACAACCTGAGGTTTAGCGGTAGATAAACTGACTGCATTCTCTCTTTCTTTTCTTTGTGGCCTGAGAGAAGCTTTTTGTCATGCCAACCTATTAGCATGAAAGGGTTGTCAGGCTGAGAACCAAAGTTTTGTTCAAAGACAGACATTTTTTCCCATGAACAACTTAGTCAAGAACCAAATTGTTTGAGATGAGAAATGTTTGAGAGCCGAAATTTGAATATATATTGTTGTTCCTTAGAATCAGGTGATTTATTCAATATAGCTGGAGTTATAGTATTCTGATATAAACATGTCTAGTGGCTCCTTATTAGTGAATGCCCCCATCTCCTCCTTTTCTCCCCTCCCTCTTTCTCTCCCCCTCACACACCCACTTCACTACCACCAATTACTGAATGACTCAATGCCAGTGTGATAGAGAAAGGTATTGTTCAAATGTGGTGAAGACTGTCAACCAAGGTGAAGACACATTCTTTACTGTGACATGTATGGCACCAAGTATTCTAGTCCTTACCTCCAAATATATTCTCTGCTCACTGTTACCAAAATATGCCTGGTATAAATATTGCTTTAAACATGTTATTTAATCTAGAATGCCCTGCTTTCTGAAACAACCCTCTTACAAACACCCAGAGGTACAGACATAAGTGCGCGCGCGCACACACACACACACACGCACACACACAGTCAGCATGAGACTCAGACACACAGAATGATATTGTCTCTATTGTCTTCAAATTCACGTGGCATTTTGCTTATCTTTAATGCCTGTGTTGCTCTTTCTGAAGTATAATTCTTTGTGTACATGTCTTTTATCCTTTGCCAGATTAGTAGTTCTCCAAGCCAGTGCTGTGTTTCAGTCATTGCTTCCCTCCTTGGATGGTTCAGAAGGTACACAGTAAGTCATTTTGATGGGTGGCTTTGCTTTGTTTCTAATAGAGAAGTCCTTGAACTGAGAACCAGTGCCTCCTAGATAATTACTGTAAACATGGCCCTGGGTCCCGCACAGCACTATCAAGAATGGATTGTAGTTTGTATCCAATTTGTTGCACATCAAACAATTATTTAACTGACATCAAATAGTGTCAGAAATAATTTTCCTTTATCATCAGAAAAAAAATGTTAGTATTAAGGAACAAAGTAAAAACACATAGATAGCCTATGGGGTCTATACCTATTTAAGTAGTAGCTTTTACCCTGCAGCTTTTTAAATCCCTTGACACCAAGGTATTTTAAGCTCCTTTCTACTATTTAATTGTGTTAAATGACAATGGTTTTAGAGTTGAATTTCTACATAATTTTTCTCTTTTGTGTACTTTCCAGAATTCATCCCAAACATAATTTTTCAAGTTTGAATAATAACTTAAAAATCAACCCCAAGGTAAAAGTTGTAGGACGACATAAGAAATGAAGCCCCTTTTCCTGTTTCCCGTTGGTAAATTACTGTGTTTTCTGCCACCAGGCTTCATCTCATGACGTGACCTTTACTGTACTAATAGGCGGCAAACAGAATCTGCCAAACTGTGATAAAATATAGGTTTTAAATATACAATGAATTACTCTAAGAAGATTTATAAAGGTCAAAAGCATGGGAAGAATTAAGTTGAAACCGTGATGTGTTTTGACATGTTATACTAGGTTTTCTCCAAGGTTATTTTTTAAAATCATAGTAACCATACAAGGAAATGTTTTGTTTGTTTGTTTGTTTGTTTTTTGTTTTTAAAGTAACACTGGATTCATTTTGACTAATGTTTGCTTGGGTTCAAATGTTAGTTTTTTCAACGGCTATTTATTGTGCCAGGCAATGGGGACACACTGGTGAAGAACTCAGTAATGATCCCTGACCTTTTGCAACTTATGTCTTAATGAGATGCAGACAAGCAAATGTTCAACTCCTCTACACAGCAGGTCACGCTGTGAGAGTGGAAATGACAGAAGCTTACCTACCTCCTCAGACTTCTCAGTTAGCCCTGAGGAAGGATGGAGGGCACTGGGCATAAAGGAAGGGAGAGTATTGCACTCATCCAGGGCATGGAAGGTAAGAAAGCACAGAGGAGAAAGAACAGCGTGTGCTCTGAAACTGAGAGTTCCTTATGGCAGGAGGGTCAAGTCGAAGGCTGTAAAATACTATAACTGGTGGTTCTCAACCAGGGGGCAGTTGGGACCCCAGGAAACATTGTCAATGCCTAGAGATACTTCTGGTTGCCACAACTGAGCATGGGGAAGAGGCCTAGGGTGCTGCTAAACATCCCACAATGCACAGGGCAGTCCTACAACAAAGATTTATCTGGCCCCAAAGTCAGAAGTGCCTTGGCTAAGAAACCCTGTTAGAGATAAACCTGGAGGCTTAGACTGAGTTTAGATCACAAAGCTACTGGAAGGAATTTTGGATTTATTCTGGGAGTCACGGGGTGCCACTAAAGGATTTAAGCATGTGTTGTTTGTCAGCCCTATGACCTTTCGGTAATTATGGCTGAAATTATGTATTTGTTTCTTTATACTGAGTCTCACATGATCAGAAAATTGTGCTTACCCGCTTACCGTGAATTACACCTACCTGTCTTACAAAGGTCAAATGAGCATCATTGTGGAAAGTTTGTTAAAAGTTTAAGAGCAAAAAGAAAGGATGGGTTATTTCATTGGTCTTCACCAGTCACAATATCATTTTTAAAAAGTGTGTGTGTTTATTTTATTAACTCTCTGCTGCCACAGAAGGTCAAGCGTGACCATCCACTCTCAGGACCATGAAGCACCGGCCATGTTGCTGTTTCAGCTGGAAATAAAAGGCTAGAGCATCCTGAGCAAAGAGGTGTCATTTAAGGCTCCAACGCAGGGCTTCTGACATTGTTACAGGTTCCAGTCCTTTTGGAACATCCCATGACACGTACGACCTCTCTTTTCAGAAATATGACTTATCCCCCCAGGCTTTCACATGCCCTACAGAAATACAGTGATTTCTTATGTGATGCTGACGTTCCCAGAAATGTCTACAGGCCAAATTGATAGCAACAAAAATTTGTGGAAGGAAATCTAGCATGATTTAGAGTCACCCAGAGAAAATCTTTGCCTTTTTTACCAGTGAGGAACCCTCTCCGAAGATGTTCACCAAGATACCATTTGTGTCATCTTGCAAAAACATAAGTAATATTGCATCAGAGCCAAAAAATTCAATGGAAATGAGCAAGTTTTCTTATGATCCATAATGAAGACAATATGTTTCTCTGGTTACAATAACCTCTGTGATGAACAATTCTGTAAACCATGTGCTTTCTGCAGATTCCCATCCATTTAATCACTTCTCCTAAAAATAGTGATTGATTATAGGCTCAGTGTCTTATAAATGGGAAGAAAAGGTGAACTGACCTGTGCCTGCATCACACACACCCCTCCTCAGTTCTTTTGAGGAGAAAACACATGTTTATGTTTCTATCTCTATTGGCACCATTACCATGAGCTCAATGCATTTCCATGTCTTGATTGTCACTATGCCCATCACTTTTCACATTTCCTAACTCTGCACAGAGACTGAGTGCCTGCTTCATCTCTAATTCTAGCTGCAATTTTTAGTTATTTGTTCATTTGATTGAGTAAAATCCTATATAATAAAAGCCTAATATGCAAATTGACCAAACAGCGGGACAACTGGCGGAATGACCAGTTGCTATGACACATACTGACCACCAGGGGGCAGACGTTCAACACAGGAGCTGCCCCCAGCCCGCAAGCCCCAGGACCCATAGATCGGCTCTGATCACCAGCCAGGCATAGGGACCCTACCCGTGCACCAATTTCATGCATTGGGCCTCTAGTTCCATTATAATGTCAGAATGTCTCTTAATGCTCTTTAGATTGGGATTTTGTGGATTCCAAAATTAACATCTAGTTAGAATCAAGGTGGCAGCTGGGACTGCAATTCTGTCTTGGACTCAGGGTTTCTACAAGCTCCTTGGTCTTTGCAGGACTCATTTCATTCTCATGCTTTCCACATGCAGTTCCATTGTGAAGCCAACAATGGCAGTGAGGGTCCTTCTCATGCTTCCAGTCGCTCCCCGTTTCTGCCACATTTCTCTGATTCCCACAGGAGAGAGCTCTCTGCTGTGAAGAGCTCACGAGATTATTTTGGGTCCACCTGAATAGCACCGGATACTTTATCTCAGGATTCCTAACCTTAGTTGCTTCTACAAAGTCTCTTTGCCATGCTTGTAGGTTAGGTTCTAAGGATTAGAGTGTAGACAGCTTTGTGGGGCCATTATGCTACCAGAGAGACCTACAAGGTAACATGTTATGGATATTGAGAGAGAGAGAGAGGAGTTCTAATTAGAACTATCATGAGAAACCAAAACCAAAATGAGATATCACCTCACACCTGTTAGAATGGCTATCATCCAAAAAACAAGAGATAACAAGTGCTGGCAAGAATGTGGTGTGAAGGGAACCCTATGCACTGTTGGTGGGAATATAAACTGATACAGCCACTACGAAAACACCATGGAGTTTTCTTGAAAAATGAGATGTAGAACTGCTGTGTGACCCAGCAATCCCACTGTGGGTATATATGCAAAGGAAATAAAATCAGGATATTGAAGAGATGTCTACACCATTGTTCATTGAAGCCTTATTCATAACAGCCATTGGAAACAAACTAAGGGTCGGTCAAGAGATGAATGGGTAATAAGGATATGGTATATATGCATGATGGAATATTACTCCATCCCGAGAAAGGAGATTCTGCCATTTCTGACAATACAGACCTTGAGAGCATTGTGCTAAATGAAATAAGTCAGACGAAGAAAAATGCTGTGTAATATCACTTAAATGTGTAATCTGAAAAAGCCAAACTCAGAAACAGAAATTAGAATGGTGGTTACCAGGGCCTGAGGATTTGGAAGAAATGAGGAGATGATGGTCAGAGTACAAACTTTCAGTTATAAGATGAATATTCAGGGGAGGGGGGAGGTTCCTAATATATAGCATGGTGATTATAGCTAACACTATTGTATTATACTTGAAAGCTGCTAAGAGAGGTGGTGAAAATGTAGGCCAACGCTGCAGGAGTAACCATTGCAGTATATGAGTGTGTCAATGAGCATGGTGCCACCTGAAACTCATACAATGTTATATCTCAATTAAAAATCAGTAAGTAAAAATAAATTAAATGTTCAAGACTAAATGATTTTTTAAAAAGTATCCTGGAAGGACTTTCTAATTAGAATTATTAAAGGTGGGAGCATTTTAGCAGCGTCTTGAGGTTTAGATAAATTTTGATTGGTGGAAGTGAAGATGGCTATTTTAGATGAAGGTAATAGAGTGTTTAGAGATTTGAATATGAGAAATTATGAGAGTTTGGAAAAAATAATACAATAGTCAAATTTGGAATATGAAGGATGAAAAAAATAGGTTAAAGTCAGAGGGTGAGATTCTTAAATTATGGGTCAATAGTTTATTTTTACTAGGAATATAACTTATATCTTGAAGACATTGAATTAAAAAGTATTAAAAATAAATAAAAGCAATCCTTAACTGCTACAAGTGAATGAAAGGATCAATTTTGCAATGGTTGTATACATGTCAGCAGG